TCAGTAAATAAGCATCGTTCGTTACAGTTAACAATAATTTCTGTAAGTTTAGAAAATAGTAATAATTACCTACAAGCTTAAAACAATATCGCTCATGTTTATCATTCAAAACAGACAAAATGAATAAAGAAAATAATCAATAAGGAAAATCATACACTATTTAACATTACGTACATGACGCACGCACATGGCGTATAGACGATGCAGTCATAAAGTTAGACGTCATAATGCCGTATAACTTTATGATAGCATCGTGTCGCGATGAAATTAGTATAATGGAATTGAATTTTTTCGACCGAATATGCATTATGCAAAATCATATTGAAATACTGTAAGAACCATGAATCGCTTGATGATTTAAATTCAGAATGTCAAGAAAATTTTGAATAACTCCCATACATTGCATTGTAGTACGGAATTCAGGATGCAAAAATTCGAAATGCAAGAAATGGCCTGAAAGGATTGAATTCAGATTATATGCAATATTTGTAATAGCTGCTGCTTATAATTCATCTGATATGCTCATTTTAATCCTTAAAAAAAAAAGCCTGAAATATATTGGCATGCTATGCTACAAATATATCAGTATTATCAAGATTATTATTTTTGATATATATGTTCATAATTCATAAGAACATATTCTAACTTATAAAGCACGAAATCTTTGATTAAATTTTAAAATTTTTGTTGTTGTTTTTTTGCTTTATTTTTTTAAAAAAAGTAATCTTTTAAATTATCCTTCAAATGAATAGCATGAAATGTGAGAAGGGAAATTTGCAATACACATTATCACTTTACAAAATTAGAAAAATCATTTCAGTATATGAATGATCGTTTTGTAAATGTTTACTCATCGGAGTATTTCATTCTTGCAATTGTTTACTTTTCAGGAACAAATGTAAGCAAAGTTGTTATCAAAGAAAAGCGTAAATGTGTTATTTGTACCATTTTAGTATTTCTTTTAAAGAAAAAGAGGTATTTTTTGAACTTTTATTTTGCAAATTTTCAAAAAAATGTAGATTTTTAACTGAAGAATTTTTTTTTTTAAGTAGGCATTAATTAATTAATTATGTTTATATAATTTAAGCATACACCAAAATAACCAATAACGACAATAAATTTTGTTGTTGGAATTTTTATTTATATTATTTAAAATTGTGAGACTTATTATTGAATCTAAAAATGAATATTTATTATTTGTGATAAACAATATATTTTTGATTTAAAATTGATAGAACTTTGATGTTATCGACTGATAAGATGTGGTAATATAATATTTGCAGTAGTAATAGTAGTAGATGATAAATTGGAAAAATTTTACGATAATTTATTATATGTCGATAATACTAATCAAAATGTAATATTGGTAGGAAGGGAAAAACGAAAAAATTAATAAAGAAAATTTTTAAATTATGCATTAATAATTTCAAGTACTTTACGTTTCATCCTATACGGATCTTGGTAAACAACTTCTAAACCCCAATCTCTAAAATTTATCCCTTTATCTTCTTTGTTATTGATCAATCGAGAAACTTTACACACAATCATAAATTCAAATGTCCTTCCCATTCGTCACTTTGACGTAAATGTAAAAAGCTTTATGTGTGAAACGCTGCATGCATTTCAAAATACTGACTATATTTTATCCCGCATAACATTTCGTTCTTTTTCGACATGTTTAAATTGCAATCGACATTCCAACTAAATGAAAAGCTATGATGGTTTCGCATAAGGAAAAATATATCGCCGAATATTTTTTTTTTTTGACGCTTTTTTTTCTTCTTTCGATTTCCCGTCAAATGATATTATACATGTAAAATGAGATTTCGCATCTTTAACCTCCACTCTTTTTAATTTTTTCGCATAATCAGTGAATCAGCGAAATACGTCATGATTTTTTTAAAATTACCGATGAATTAATTTAATCAAATGGTAAACAACTAATCATTTTGTAGTTTCTCCTTTTTCTTCAGAAAATTAATTTCAATTTTTATTAAACATTTTCTTCTTTCTTTCTATTTTCAATCAAACAATTAATCAATCAGATCAGTTGATTAATCAATTTGGCAAATTAACTAGCTAATATTGATATCAGTGATCATTCATTTTATTCTGATATGTTCATCAAATCCATCAATCAATATCGCTTCATCCATTATACACTTTCCTCATTTTAAAATTATCCAGTTGAAAAATTTTGAAACAAAGCTACGAAATTTTATTAAATTCTTTCCTCTCTTTCTCCCCCGCATCTCGATCTTATCTCTCTTAAGAATTCATCCCCCGTTTGGTTACTTCACCGTTTACATTTTCATGGTTGATGAAAGCCAACAACGTAACACTTATCCTATTCGCAGTCCAATCTTATCGATTTCCAGTTCAGCACACTTAAAAAAGACTGCTCCTGCCTTTGGGATGTTGGAAAGTTTCGATTCATCCCCTTCTTTCTTTCTTTCTCTCTTTCCTCCCTCTCTTTCTCTCTCCTCTGCTATATTTCTTTCTCTGATAGAATTATCGTGTGTTTATGACAAAGGCTCCAAAATTTTCCGATTGCTAAATAACTTCTCTAATATAGGCCTTACTAGTCTCTTCTTTCTTTTACAAATATTACATTCATATTTATGAATTAAGTTTACTTTTTTTCTCTTTCTCTCTTTCTTTCCCTTTCTAACCATGCACTGAATATGAATATGAGCCAAAAGTCAGGCCCGGAATGCTTACAGTCAGGAATTTCTTATCGAGAATAAGAGCATAATAAAATGCTTTAGGCCTGAGTGATGTTTATCCATGGTCTTTTTTGTTCTGGCCCATTCTTTCAAAAATAAACTAATCCTTTGTTTGTCAAAATTCGTTAATTTTCCATGCTTATATTCATTTTTTTTTTTTAAACTATAAATTGTTTAATCATCGACAAAGTTTTCATTTTCACTTCTCACAATAATTAATTCATCGGTGAGGTATAAGCTATTTATCATTCGTGTTCAATTTACCTAACCGTTGAGACTATCATTGTTGAACCTGACCGATTAACATATGGCTAAAATTTTCCGATTACAAGTTTCAGGATCCAGATGACCTATATCAATACTGATACTGTCAATTACTGTCACCTCCATGAAATACCCGGTTGTCCTTTCATTCAGTTTGGTTGTCCGGTAGCCGTCCGGTAGTGTAACAAAATTTGCATATGACTAGTTTGTTAGCCTGAAATGTGCTAAGAAGATCACGAGAATGCATAAGATAGTGACAGAAAGGATTGCAAAAATTGATTGCCACTCGGAAGTGTTTGAAAGTGAAGAGATGATAGAATGAGTAATTGGAGAAGAGAATAGGATGTAATACCATTGTTGCAATGACACAGTGATACAGAGAAAAAGGGATTGTTATGAATAGCAGGGATATCATAAGAGAGTGTGAAAGAATGGAAGTGTTCATGAATTCTTCAATGAACTCTTAAGGTTAACTTTTTTTTTTCACTCGTTTTCATTCCCATTTCTTTTTTCAATCCATGTTTAATGATTATTGATTAGCCAATAATCATTAAAAATTCAAAATTATTTTGAAGTTTTGAAGTTTTAAAGGTAGGTATATATTTCACAAAGATTCCCGAAAAGGATCCATAATTTTAATACAATTTAATTGACTAAAATTAATTCCAGAATTAATCTGAACAAATGTGGAAATGACAGTGATGCATTAAAAAACATACGCTAATAGCTGGTTCATGTCCGAGTTGCGCTCAATTCTATAACCTTTATTTTTGAGTATGGTATGGGTTACGGACGGGTATGGTACAGAATACGGATGGGATATAGTACGGATAACGGATGAGTATGGTAAGAATTACGGTCAGGCACGGTTGGATTACTGGTAGCTACAGTGTAAATTACGGACAGTTATCGTATGAGTTACAGGTAGGTATAATGTAGGTCATAGGTAGTTATGGGTAAGTTAACCTACGGTATAGGTTAAGAGTAGATGTGATATGGATTACGGATAAATTCAATTGCGTTTGTGTTACTTTTTTCATTTCCCACTTTTATCGTACAATTTTTTATTTATTTCTTATTTAATTCATTAATTTCATTAAAATATTTTCTTCCTTTTATTTGGGTTTATTTTCATTTTTGATTATTTGTATTAGATTGTGAAATCAGTCTATTAGTTGCATTGTGTGAAATGTATGATGGTTTTTGTAAAATTAATAAATAATCTCGAAATTTTTAGAAAGAAAAAACCACAATTTTAGTTCAAATTTGCAGAAAGCGATTCGATTTTCTTTTTTCTGTTTTATCCTTAAACTCGAGGCATATACGTGCTTCGAGAAGTGCAGCAATGGATATTTGCAATAAATTTGTTTCTTACTCAAGTATTTTTCGATCATTTAGTTTCTGGTTTGATCTAATTGATATACTTACTCTAGGTTCCAGTCTGTTTCTCATATTATGTTTATCTTATCCGGTAATTTCTTTTTCTTATATTGAAAGATTTAAATTTCATTTCTGTTTCAGGAATTGTAATTAAAAAAAGTTGATTTTTGCTAGATCACAGCAAAGGTAGACGTGTGTAAAAATCATGTAAGCCGATGCAAAGTCAGGATTATCTTCACTTTACGTCTGTCGGTCTACATGATTTTTAAGCCACCGTGATGTTTACATTATTTCCCCGTCATATAATATTATTGATCTAAAATTTTTAAATATTTGCTTTTTTTTTTTCGCATTTTTATGCATTCTATTTTGTTTTCTTAAATTACTGAATTTTTCCTACGTTATGCTTTTCACATAGATTTTTCTATTATAGCATTACGTTTTGAAATACGTCTTATTGGAAATGAAACATTCTGTTTCGATATTTTCAAATTGCTTTCGTACGTCACCCCTGATTCTATCAATAAGTACATTTTATGCATATTTTTATGTTACTTATTTTTAGGTTATTTCAAAATTTGAGGATTTTTTACTGATTATTTTCTGTTTCATTATAATAACACAAGGAAGATGCAAACGATCGAGAAAGCATTACATCAACCAATGCCATTTACAACGGGTGGACAAACGATCACTGATCGACTTACAGCTGCAAAACATTCCTTAGCTGGTAGCCAATTGGGTAAGACAATTTGTAAAGCTACAACCGAAGAATTAATGGCACCAAAAAGGAAGCATCTGGATTGTAAGTTCTTTATACTATGTTGGGTGTGTGGGATTTAATTAATTTGAAAAAGAATTAGAATTCAGGAATTGAAATTTCCACGCGAATTTTCTATACAAATTAACCTCGATTTCAGGATCGGAAATTTTTCTTTATATGGAGAGTTTTCTTTAAACGGGAGAATTAATATTAAAATAACTATAATATGCAGATCAATTAAATTATCAGAGATTACTTTAAAGAATCTATCAGTATGAGGACGTTAATAGCTTTTGGCCTTTTTATGAAATCATTCTTTCCTTTACTATTCTGAAAAATTTTTGATGAGATCGCTTTTTTTTTCAAATTTCGACATCTTTATATAGATTTTTGATATTACCTGTAATCAAGTAATTGTTATATGAAAGGTCAGATAGTCTCCAATAATTTGAAGCATAATAGGTTAAAGAATTGTTAATTTCAAGGTTTCGCGTATTTTTTGTGAAAATTTCATTCAAACTTTTAATTTCATTACTAAAAAAAATGATTTATCGATTAATTTTTGTAGATTTATTGCACTGTACGCAGGAGCCGAACGTTTCCATTCCATCAATGGCTAATTTGTTAATTGAACGAACCCAGAATCCCAACTGGACAGTTGTCTATAAGGCGCTTATCACAATCCATAACATAATGTGTTATGGGAATGAAGTAATTTATTTTATTATTTCAACCATGATTTATTTGATTGTGTTAATATTTTTTGCATTTTTAGAAGGCATCAAATTGTTTTTTTTAAGAACATATCTAGGAAATTAATTACATATTCAGTTAGTAGATAATAGGAAAGGACATAAATTGATTTTGTTAAATCACAAATAAATATGTATTTTCACTTTTAAGAGGTAAATGATAATTTTGGATTTTATTTATATTGTTAATCTTAGTTATAAAATACATAACTTCTAATTTAATTTCTGAAATATATATTACAGCACTTTTAAGTTATAAGCAAAATTTAATATTATTCATACCTTATTACTTGTTTTTGAAGCATACTTAAGATCTAATGATAATCTCGATATTCTGTTTTTATAATGTATAGTTTGGGTTCTTTTTCAGCGATTTTCACAGTATCTTGCATCCTGTAATACAACGTTCAATCTGGGCAGTTTTTTGGACAAAAATTCCGCTCAAGGTAGGTATTATTTTAGATGAGTGTGTGTCGACCGTTGATATTCTAATCAGCGGAAATGGATGATGTGGAATGGTATATGCTGATGAATAGCGTGAAAAAACCGATATGTGGTCTTATTTGATGTGCGATCTCCTCACTACCAGTCGAGAAACGTGACTTCATGTCAATGTATTCAACAAAATTTAATTATGATTTGTTATTCCGGTCAAAATTTTCCAATTTTTTGATTCCAGCTGTATAAACTTCCATATGAACTTAGTTTGAACTTTTGTTTTAAAATAATTTTTCTTTTGTGATTATCGTACCATACACTTTTATCAACAATTTTTTACAAATATTTGCCGTATTCTTATTTTGGTATTTCGTCTACATAGCGATCTCTTATCCGTCTTCCTTATTAAAGAAAAAATTTTATGTGTGGAATTTAAAGTTAAAGAACACGTCAGGTCATTCACCTATGGATTATATGCGTTCATCAATGAAACACTGGGCATCCCCGGATTCGGTTCTTGTTGGTAAATGAATCATCATAAATTTATCTTTTTTTTTAGACTGATACCACCTTTAATGTGATCATGCACGGGCAAACACACTTCGGGCATATTTTCTTTTAATTTTTTTTTTTGTTTCAATGTAATCTTTCTTACATGAAGCTTTGCGGTATTTGTTAACATTTCAATACTTTTCTTTTTCTTATCTCGCTCTTTGCTAGGCATTAATCTTTTATCTTACACGTGATTTCCTAAGTAATTTCATATCGTTTGTTGAGAAAATAAAAGTTTCACTATTGAAATCCTAATCAAGAATGAAATAAATGGGATTGTATGAACAACTGACATTAGAATGAGGTGAGACTTGCATATTTAGCAAACGCATTGCTGTAAATAATTAGGAAATCAGAATTGTAATTGTGGCGATTAGAGAACGGATCAATTTATAGAGTGAAAGAGAAGATAAAGATGGTGGAGGATGTATTTTTAATTGTTCATGTTTTTAATTATGAAAAGTGACATTGAATTGGTATGGAATTGAATTGAATTATCTCTTCCATATTGGAATTAAGGGTAATAGAGTGAGTCCGCCAGTTATGGATTATCAGATGAGGGATATTTCTTGTAGAGGGTGGCTTAGGGAAGATCTGAATTTAAGTAAATGCGGCAAAATTTTCATCTTGCGATTTTATTTTGAGATTTTCACTTTGAAGTTTTGTTTTGGAATTTTCACTTTTCCAGTTAAAAATAATTTTTTAAATCTGATTTAAGTTCAGAATTTCCGAAAATTTCATTTTTTGTAAGTAAAATTGAAATGCAATTTCTTAATATCCCGAGTTCTCTGCAAGTAATTATAATTTAGCCATTTTTAGTTTCCAAACAGAAATTAACTTTCTGCTGCTTCAATTAAATCTCTGTTTATGTCGTTTAAATAAGTAACGAAATCTCGTTGTAGGGTATGATATGTCGCAACATGTTCGACGTTACGGGAAATATATCAGTGAAAAGATCTATACATATCGATTATGCGCTTTTGATTTTTGTAAGGTGAAGCGTGGTCGTGAAGATGGCCTTCTACGAACAATGAGTGCAGATAAGGTATAGTAATGTTTGTACCAAGCTAGGCAGAAAAAAATTTAGAGAATGCCAGTCGATTTGAATTGAATTGATCAGAGCTTTGATGAAATAAACGGAAATATAAATCAAAATTTCTAGACTTTAGCCTTTGAGAAACTTTTATGTTTTTTTCAGAACACTGCTGATTTTATGAAACTACATTATTTTTGATGTTTCAGTTATTGAAAACATTGCCAATTTTGCAAAACCAGATCGATACTCTTCTCGAATTCCAAGCAAGTTTTTTTTTTTCAAAATTTTTTTCTTTAGTATGCTCTTAACATTAATTAGGCTATTTTTCAGGACATAATTTGTTCTACATTGTTCATCCAGTGCGGTATGGGTAACAAAGATTTTTATAAAAGTGATTGAAAGATTAGAGATTATACCATCTTTAATTGAGCGCTTATTTTTTTAGTCTCTAAATTGTCACATGAAGTAATTTTTTATCTTTCGATATCTTAGTAGACCATTTATTATTATTGATATGATATTACATGAATAACATTTTAATAAATAACGTAACAAATGAAGTTAAAAAATTATATTTGACCAATTGAGTCTAATGCATGACTGAGTTGTATAACTTTTACATTTCTCAGACATTTTTTACTGTTATATACTGTAGAAAATGTCACTATTTGTCATTATGGGTTACAAAAGAAGGGAAGCAAAAAGCCTTTCAACTGAAACTATGGCTTGTGATGTATATCTTACTGATCATCATAGCCATTATAAAAATCACTGAGTGTAAATATGTCTGATAAGATGATAGGTAAGAAAGAAATAACTAACAAACAAATAAATCAAAGCTTCATTGTATACATAGTGTGTACAACGTGTATAAATATAGTGATAGGCGAAGGGAGTAAAGGAAGATGGTGATTACTTAAACATTTGATTCACTTATATTTTCACTTGCTTACCTAATGATATATTCACTTAATCATCTAGTCATACATTTACTTATACACGTTTTAGGCTGTTCGTAAAAGGTAATAAAAAATATAGGTGTAAAGTATTATAAATAGTTGTACGTAACATATAGGTGTAAAGTATTATAAATATTTGGTAATGTTAACAATTGTAATTTTTTCACCAGTTGAAATTGCTATGATCAAAAATTTGGATTAAATGTTTAACTCAATACGAAATTCTTAATTTCAGGTAACTTCAGCAGAATTAAATAATGGTGTCATCAACTGTTCTTTCATTCTTCTCTTTCGTGATCTCATTCGCTTATTTGCGTGTTATAATGATGGTATCATTAATTTGCTTGAAAAATATTTCGATATGAATAAGAAACAATGTCGTGAAGCACTGGATGCCTACAAATCATTTCTGGTGATACTAATGAATTTTTCTATTTTTTTGAAGATAATTTTTCCGAAAAATTCAAAAAAAAATCTGAGACTGTTCTAAATCGTCTGAACCGAGAAGCAGTAGAGATGCTTCGTTAATTTTCATTCAGGTGGTCATAATTTGAAAATTTTTCTCGAGAAAATATACAATTGGTATTTTTAGCTAAGGTTGGATAAAGTAGCAAGTTTCCTGAAAGTAGCCGAGTCTGTGGGTATTGATCGTACTGAAATACCGGATTTAACGCGAGCACCAGCTTCATTACTGGAAGCATTAGAAGCGCATTTGGCTTATCTCGAAGGTGGCAGAGCGCCTCCCACAGTTCATCATGTAAAATTTTTCATTCTTTTAGTTTTCCGTTATCTCATATTTCTACTTTGTTTGTTTGATTTTATTATTGAGAAGATTTGCTTAAAAAGTTTATACATCCATTTACTCGAATGCTGTAACCGAAAAATTAGATTGTTCAAAACATATTTGTTTGTTAATTTTAGGCCTTACAAGAAAATATTAGGTCCCAAATCTATGTTTGTAAATTTTTTGCTTTCATTTTTTCCAGGAACAGTTTACTGCAGCAATGGCGCAATCTGCACCATTATTCTCTTCCGCCCAAGCCGGAGTTATTGATGATTCGGCAAAGCAAAAATATTTAGAGGAGGAAAAGGAAAGATTACGATTATTTGAAGTTTGTTTCTCGGCTTCTTTAAATAAATTTTATTTTTCAGAATTTTTCAAATGAATTTTTTGCTAGGCAATAACAATCAGTCTGATCGACTAGAATCATCTGTTTATATATCTTTCCAGTTGGTTGGATTATCACTTGTTTGAAACAATAAATCAACTAGAACTAAGTCAAGACCATTGAGGACTATCGCTTTTGAAGATTAGAATCTAATCTTGAACATTTATTTATATGTTAACCTTTGAAATGTATCGATTATCTCGCTTTCTCTCTATTGCTTAACATATTGCAAGGCCTTGTACATTATATTATTCAAATTTATTGTTTTTGTGCAAAAAATTTTTTCTTAATCAACTTCATAATTCATAAGCAATATTATTATATATGGTTGAAGTTGATGATATAATCAGATGGTAATAGATCACAAAAAATTCAGTAGGATTTTATATTATAATAATATGAACTTTACGTATTCAAATTTATGGATTATTTGAATTCAAATTAACACTGAGCCAAATGTAAATATTGAGATAGTGGGCGGAATATTCACCGGTAAAGTGGTCTCGCTTTCTATTGTTTCGGATGTTTTCTGTAATGTAATTTCTAGCTAAGTTATTACATTATGGACAAAGAAAATAGTAAACAAATCTGTTTTCTTTTCAGGAGCAGCGAAAAAGGCAAGCAGCAGCAGGTTCATCTGGAATTGATACAGGAGGACATTCATTCAATCCATTCGCTGCAGCTCAGTCATCAGCTGGCGCTGCAGATCGATCTACAAAACCAAGTGATGATCTTCTAAGTTTGTTTGATCCTGTGACAGGAGCTGGTGGAACTACTGCTCCTTCAGGTTATGGAGCTGCTCCAGTTAATGCTGCACAACAACCAATGGCTTTGGATTCAACAAATCCATTCGCTCAAAATGTTTTCCAGCAGCAGCCAGCTACAGTTATGTCAGCTAATTCTCCTGCTCCTGGTTTGTATTCAGGAAAATTGTTTTCAGACTTTTCCCTGTAAATTTTTTTTCCTACGACAGAGCTATTATAATGAATTTAGGAAGTCTGGATTCTAATTTTCAGAGAAATCCTACTTCCTAATGACATGCATGATTATTATAATTTCAGGTTTTGCGGTATATCCAAATATTAGCAGAACAAATGCATTTGGTGCCGATTTTACAACCGCTTTTAATGTTGCAGCAGTGGCTCCTGCGACTACTGAAATTAATGGTTTGCTTCTTTTTTTGAAAAAAAAACATCTTGTCACATAATTACTACCTTGTGAAGTTTTAATCTTTCTTATTTATATCATAAAAAAATACAACCGAACATTTATGTATATTGTATATATGGCATATAGTGTTCAGATAACGTACTCACTGCTTTTTATTCTATGTTTTCTCTTTTTGGTATGTTTGTGCATGCACAGTACAAAACATAATTCAAGATTTCGAATATTCAAAATTCACTGACTTTTTTTAGAATCATTAATTGAACTCTTTGATAATTTGGTATATGCTGGAGGACGATTCGTTGAACATTTAATGCATATTGTTTTACATAGTTATTTTTTTTTCCTTCGTTGTTGTTTTATTTAGTCAGGAAGCTTTTCCGGTATTTTGCATTATTGTTTCTGTCATTGGTAATGATATTGTTGTGGTTGTTAGTGTTGCTAGAAAACTTTTTGATGATAATGTCAATAATTTGTGATATTCTTCGACATATACGAGGTTTCAATTATTATAATTTTATGCTTTTGCTATTGTTGCTGTTGTTGTTATTATTTAGTTTTCTTGTTTTTATGCAATATTTCAACCACTTTTTATCTTTCTAAAATTTTCGTTACTTATTTCTTAGTGATTGCTAGATATCCTAATTTCTTACCGTAAGTTTCAAACAACAATAACTGCTGCAGTTGGATTCAATCCATTTCTGGCTAGTGATAGTACGGATTCGTCTGCACCACCAATACTTCCGCAGTGGCCTATAGCAGGTGAAGAAACCGATAAACAGTGGTCCAGAAAAACTTCGCAAGATGCAGTTCCGCCACAGCAATGGACTCCTACAGTTACGCGATCTGATATGGAAGGTGGTTCAGCTGCTGCTTCTTCTTGGGGTAAAAACGGTGATAGCAGTGAAAGTGATGAAGCAGTTGGAACTACAGGTACTGATAATAGTGGTAATGTACCGCAACAACCAAGCGAAATGGTCAATTCGGCTCTTCGAAATCCATTTGGTGCCATGCAACAAAATGCGCAGGGTAAGCTTTCTTCGGAAATTCAGCATTGATTTATAGTATTTTATTTAAACATTTAAACAATCATAGTTACCTTCTTACTTATTTTACAGTTTTTTCAAGTTTTTTTTCATCCTTAAATAATGAAGGCGAACTTGAATTTATTCATAATGTATCTCTACTACAATGTTATATGTTTCTTTTAGCACTACACACAGCTGGTGTTAGTGCTGCCGTGATAACACCGCAACAACCTGATATACCAACATTTGGAGCACCACCATCTGGTGCATCATCAGGTTTGTTTATTTTTTTTGTAATCTTTATGACCTCTTCATTGATTTTGCATTCTTATATTTTCCTTTTTTGATTTCTCTATTTAAAGAGTGCCAGATTTAATACGGGATTTTATTTGCTTTTTTTTTAAGCTAATGCATCACCAGTTCACTTTGGAATGACTACTCAAGCACTTCCGACGCCGCCGCCGCCACCACCACCACAGCCAGCTGTGATCCCGAATCAAAACCTTACAATTTATGAGCAAACTCCATTTTGTTAGCTCTTTTATTTATTTTTTAAAATACTACTTTCTACGTCATCAGGAATAATCATAAACGTTCACTTAAAAGAAGTTAACAGATATGACATCAAGAAAGCTACACTTTCGTCAGTCTTAAAGTATTTTATATAAATTCCAATTTTTTGATCTTTTTTAATTATATGAAGAGAAGAAGAGGTAAATATATTTAAATTCACAATTAAAAACTGGAATTTAAATTTGATATACATTATTCTATTAATTTCTTACATTTGTGGATACTATTCGTTAATAATATTCAATCTATTTTTTGTGTAAATCTAAAATTTTTGCTGTTGCTGGAAATTGGATAAAGATCTTAAATAACTGCTAAATAACCAATTACTGTGTAAATGGTTAAAATTGTAGGTATTTCAAAGTTCTTACGCGAACTATTTTTCTATACTTGGATAGTTAAATTGCACTACTATGATAGGATTGTAATGTAAATATCCAGTTTTTGATATCCTGAGTCAGATTTTTCGTGATATAATTATTTTTAGCTCACATGGATGGTAGCTATACTTCATCACCCATTATTCCACGACTCTTCCATCAACAAGCAGCAGCAGCAGCACATGCTGGTTTATTTTCTAGTCATTCATTTTATTTTTCATAAAATTCATTACTTTTTCTTCGCCTTTTATCCATCTTTTATGTAAATGTATTGAATAATATTCAAATGAGAAATTATTCGAAACATTTTATCAGTCAGTTTTACTTGTGTTCTAATTTATATTATTTTTTTAGGAATACAAAATGCACCTGGAGGTAATCATATTATTTGTTTATTGTTTACTTAAACACGTAGACAGAATGACTCATGATATAGTTTCGCTGGTTTATCTTCTGACCATTCATTCGTTGAACCGTTATTTAAGAACATGGTTTTAATCGCATCCTGATTTAGTCTTAAGAATCAGTAGGGTATTTCCTATAACAGAGAAGTAATAAGGAAGGAAAGAGGTGAGAAAAAAAGGAATAATTGATGATTAGCGGTAATACTGTATGGCCCATCAAAAATTCTGAATTGAGTTTTCGGGTTTCACTGTTGAGGCCGTAGACCATGGTTGAACTTCGGTGTTAATAATATCTATCTCGTATCCCTCTTTTTTCTTATTGTTATTATTGTTTCTGGTGTAATAATAAGGTAGTTGTGGTTGTTGTGGTTGTCATTTTTGTTGTTGATATTTTTGCTATTATTGCTATTGCTATTTCTGTTGCTGTGGTTGTTGCAGTTGTTGTTTTGTTATTGATATTATTCTTTGTTTTATAAATTTTAGAATGTTTTCGCACCAAATACTTATTTATGTATTTGCTTCACAAATAGAGATATTGCTCATTTGTGACAAGCAAAATTTGGTGTGGTAACATTAGAGATCGCTTGGTCATCAATTTTTAACGTATAAAAATATTATGAAAGTTTATAGACATGCAAATTGTAATTGGTTTATTGTTTTGTTGTGTCAGTCAAATTGCATTTAAAATTTTAAAAAGAATTTGAAGGACATTTTATTTGGTGCAAATGCATTTTAATTATTCATGAGTTTTCGATTTTTAACTCATAAATTTTGCAAGTAATTCTTTTTTATGCTGAAGCTCCATATTTTTTTATACATTCTTCTAAGATTTATTGTAACATTTATTTTTTTCATAACCGAAAATTTATGGATTTTTTAATCTGTTGGACAATAATTTTATTCAGGTACAGCAAATTTAAACGCATACGGAACGCAACAATTACCATCAGTACCGTATGCTGCCACTACACAAGCTGGTAAATTCAATAGTGGTGATTTAGATAGTGCACTATCATCGCTGGCCGATAATCTCTCGGTGAGCGGCAAAGGAGCAACTAATCATGGGTAAAAATTTTTACATATTTGATTTTTTTTTCTTTGAATTTTATTCGAGTAATTTGTCGTATATAATTAGCATATAATTGCTAATATACATTACCCATATTTGTTATTTGTAGTATGGAGGTGGTTAGGGAAAACATTTAATTATTGTATGATCAATTTGTTCAAAATGAAGATTATAATAAATGTTTTGTTTCAGTAAACCCGTTCAGTGGAATAATCAAAGTGGTGTAAGACCTGCAGGTGCAGCACATGCAATTGCACAACCGCAATATGCTGCAATTCCACCACAGCAATGGCCACCAATGGGTGTTTATGCCCCACAATCAGGTATTTGACCTGATATTTTTCCATTAGACAAAGTAATTCTAATATGAAAGTTATAAAATGCAAATTATCGTAAATATTTGATAGTATTTGGAAGTTTAATGAGTGTATAACTAAGCTGTCGCATACTTTTCAGATATTAATTTGAATACTGGATAATGCTTTATTAAGTAGTATATGGCATGATGTACTCGTAACTTGAACTTCTGTTCCTGTTATCATTTTGGGTTCTTTTCATTTTAATTGGGTTTTAAATGAAATCCCAATAAATGCAGTTTTATTTAATGTTACAGGCATATATGCTCAGCAACCAATAATGGGTATGTATGCACAACCGGGATATAATCCACAAATACAACAAACGGCTGCACCGGTATATGGCATGACACCGGGTCAAACAGTATCGCAAGCCGGACAAACGCAGCAAGCAGCACCACCACCACCCCATCGCCCATTCATGTGAATTGAATTGTAGTATTTTACTAGAACAATTTCAAGTTTCTTTTTTGTTTCTGATTTGTTCAACATGAACAAGGAGCATATGTTTTTCGAGATCGTGAAAGAATTCCATTCTCTTAATCAGTTATTTTTGATTCTGGACATTTGATTCAGTATTGATGAGTTTTTTTTTAACATTATCTTCCAATCTTTGATCTTTATTAACACTTCATGTTTGTTAACCTTGAAAATTAGCAGAATAGTTCGCATTGCTAAATTCTTTTTTCTTCTCTATTATGTTTTATAATTTTTTCATGATATTCTATAAAAGAACATGACATTGCTGTTTGCTTATACAGGTTTGCTTATATGAATTTCTAGAAAATAAGTTTTTCTTGTTTTATTCACGCTGAAATTTCTTGCAAATTACTGAGCTTGGGTTTCATCGAAATTTTCAAATGAATTCATGAAAAAATTGCGAAATTTTCGAACGGAACGAAACTTTTAACGTTTTTTATTGGTTATAGAGGTAAAAGAAAAATCTTTTCAAGACCTAAAGGTAATTATGCTTTTTAAATTTTTATTTCTCTTCTTGGTCACCATATATGTATACAAGTTTTTTTCTATCATTCCACTTAATCTTTTTTTTTGTTTTAAAAATTTGAAAAGGCAGTAGTACTATAAAGTTTATACAAATTTTGGCTTCGAAAAAATTTCGAAAATTTGAAATTATCGCTCTGTTAGTCAACGAGAGTACACTTATATGGTGTTGTATCTTTTATTTTTTTTCTTCGCGAAATTTCCGTTTTTTTTTGAATGCTCATCTGTCGTAATTAGCGGCTTTGTATTAATTAGTATGTCTCTTCCTATTTTATAAATTTATTTAAGATTTAAACAATATAGATGTCTGGACTTATCTGTCATTGTATCATTGTGCAAAAAAGGAGAGTTTTCTTCATGTCTTTAATAAATCATATATAATATATGTTTTCTATTTGTATCTGCGTTAGAATATACTAATTCATTCTTCTGATTGAATTTTGATTTTGAATTTTTTTTCTGGCATAAAATTTAGTGATATTATTTACCTGAAGCTAATTTGTCAGCATAACAAGGAAAATACAGTCCAAGCAGATGCTGTTGAAAGAATAAAATCATTTGCTTTTCTATAACTAAAATTTTCATGCTCTTCATAGGAACGGTAACTAATTCATCTGTTTAAATCAATTTAAGTAAGTGGAATGAAATTTAGTTACAAATAAAGCGTGGAAAGATAATAAACAAATGCTATGTTTTAACTTTTAATTATTGAAATTTGCTCCCTTTTAATTCGTCAGTTTAAATCTTGTTAATTTATGGTGAATCTTTATCTTGATAAATAAAATTAGAAAATTGTAGCGGAAAATTGTATCAATTGTCTGAGCTTTGGAGAGTAATTCAATTTCTGTGAAATTATTCACAAAGCAATCGACGTTATCTAAATTCAAAATGGTAAATGTCCAATGGAAGAGTGCAATTTACCTGAAAAACCGTTTATCAATTTTCTATCATCACTTTGATACTATATAGTATTTTGTGACTTGCAATTTTTTTTCCAAAGTTGACTATATGAAGAAAAGAGGAATTTCATTTAGCAAACATTTCATAAAACTTTTTTTTTTCTTTTCTATTTGTCGTTTTTTCTGATTTAACGAGCAGTAACTCCAAATTTTTGTTGATCTCTACAAAATATTTAATGAAAAATTTGTGCTTTATTGAAAATTTCAGACTGTTTTTTCTAAAAGCATATTCTGTTCGAAATTTGACATTCATTCGAAACTCTGTCCACAGAATCTTTTTTTCAAACAACTCATCAAATCAAAACTGTTGTAGAATGATTTAAAAAACTTTTTAATTGATTATTTTTTGAGAGTTTTTTTAACTGATTATTTATTGAAGTTTAATAAAGGGAATCAATAAATAATTCAATTAATTATTTATTGAAGTATTGCCTTCGTTATCCCTTTTTAAAATTATGCAAATTTTTGCAACGAAAATATCGGTTGGCTGCGCTGGAAAAGTATCCTGATAGTCTATGTGAATCCGGAAATCCTCTAACACTCCTTAGAAATTTACGTCTACGAATGAATTAAAAACAGTTTTCAGGATTTCATCAGTTGCTGGATAAAGTGACGAATTGAAATTCATTTCCGATTTTGTCATTAACAGGGTAAATTGTTGATTAGGACAAAATTTCTGCTTTTGTGCAAATTTTAAAATGTAATCAATATATTTGCAAAAATGATGCTTTCCAAATCTTTAATTTGTAACGCTTTCCAGAAATGAATCACAGTATTATTATCAGAAATTTGATTTAAAATGTTAACCTCTTTCGAGCGTTCCTATTCATGAATAGAAATGCTCGAAGTTTAACTTTATTTTTGCAGTTTAATCTTTAATTTAATTATCTTCATTTTCAGTTTTACAGGCATGATGATACGGTTGCATGTGTTAATTTATTTTTACATCCTATTACGGAATTGTCAATCGGAAGTACCGTTAGTGATAGCAACATGGGGAACTGTTGGTTTTCAGGCTGCTACCAAAAAAGGTTTGCTGAATCAAATTGTATGTTTACAATAATAGATCAGATGTACATTTGAATTTTACGATTGTTATCAGCCGGTTCTGGTTAATCGCATCTGTTAGCATGGCAGATACTATGCCGGATAGTTTCTTCATTGATCTTTCTCTTTCCGAAATAATACAACCATTAATGAAATGTGCAAATCAAAATTTTTTATAAACTTATTGAAACGAAATAATTAATGATAAACAATTATTTACAGCATTTTTGACATTAACAAAAACACACGACAGAATGGAATCATTATTGGACGGTTTAACGGAATGTGAACAGTTGCAGTGTGATGGAACAGTTGGTTTCGGTGGTTCACCGGATGAAAAAGGTGAAACTCGACTTGACGCACTCATTTATGATGGGTATTTATCACTTTTTCCTATTTTAGTTTATTTCAAATTTAGAAAATTAAATTAAATTGCTATACGAAATGAATAATTATATTAGACTAAGAGAAAAAACAGGGGAAAAAATGTTGAAATTATCTTGTTAATCGATTTCGAATAATCTTATAGACTTTTCTTATAGTCTTTTAAAAAACGAATAATCTTGTAGTCTCTTGAAAAAAACAAACTTATAATCTACTAATTAAATCTTATAGTCTCTTGATTTTTAATATTATTTTGGTATATCTCAGTTAAATATTTTATCTTAGTTTGTTAAAATTACTTTATTATAGCTGAATTCATTTTTTGAGAAATTGATTGCTTCATCAAATTTATACTCTTTCAAATTTGGCTTTATTTTAAAAATGTTCGATCAAATTTCGAATGATTTAAGCTAAATTTTTTTTCTATCTGAAATATAATATTAAATTAAACTGCCACAAAATATCAATTGCATGTCTTTATTCAGTTTTAAAAAAACCGAAAAATAAAAAGAATTTTTAGTTTGAATCATGAAATGGGTGCCGTTGGTTCATTACCAAATGTCAAGAATGCAGCACGTGTAGCATATGCAGTAATGAAATACACGAAGCATTCAATATTAGTCGGTGAATATGGTATATTTATTTTCATTTCCTTTTCACAAATAAATTTAATTTATTGAATTAATTAAATAAAATAATCAGCGTATCAGAGATTAGATTATGCGTGTTTTAAGAAAAAAATTCTTTTTCAAGAAACGTTTGTTTTAATAAAAATTTTCAATTATTGTTTGTCCTAAAAGTTAGATGAATATTTTGCAATGCTTATTGCTTTGAAGCTCAAATTATTTAAATTTAAACTTTAAATCGACAGAGATATTTATTCTTTGGTTTAGCAGCCAATTTTGCTGTCGAGATGGGTTTCAAACGAGAATCATTATATACAAATAGCTCACGTGCTGCTCATCAGAAATGGATCAAACAAAACTGTCAGCCAAACTACAGAAAAGTTTATTTTGCTATCAGTTTTTAAATATTTAAGTTTTATTTTTAGTTTATAACTTTTTTTTTGTAGACTTCTGGCTCCGGAAAATTTCTCACTCATGGCAATTTTAGAATGTGTTGCCGGATCCGATCAAATCTTGTGGTCCATACAAACCTGCAACTGATAAAGATAAATTCACATATAACATAAAAACAAATCATCAAGATTTCGAGGTTTAGCCGTTAAATAAGTTCGTGTAGATAGCATAGATATTAACCTGATACGGTCATCGTTGACCTCCCGAAATCTAACAATCAAAATGTTCGTTTCATTTCCTTATTGATTTATTATTCGCTTGTTCGGACTATCGAATTTTAAAATGTTTCAATACATTCTTGACCTGCTTGAACTTGTGGATTTCATATTTATCTCCTATTTTAATCACATTATTATTATTCCGATATCATAATAAGTTTTTCGAATTAAATTTCATGCAGTCTTAAATTTTTCTAAGTCAAAATTTCAAACCCATCTCATTGTTAAAATTTTTATCTCTATTTAGGTTAATCATGGTAATCATGATACCATAGGTATGATTGTTATTGATTCTGAGTATAATATTGCTGCTGGTACATCGACAAATGGCGCTAATCATAAAATTCCTGGGTAATTTATTTAAAAATAAATGCATATTTTGACACCTATTAAAAAAAAAAAAATCTTTGCAAAATTAGAGTTAAAATTTGTACATGCATTTTGAAATTTTGTTAATTCAAAATTTAAATTTGGCACATATTGGTCACAGTTTTCAATCCTCCAATCTGAAATTGAAGGTTATGTTCGTTAAAAGTTTTAAGCAATCTCAACAGATATTATTTTTTAAATACTATCAATTCCAAATCAAAGAATAAACTAATCAGATTGATTTAATGATTTGAATTTTCTCTTTAGAACTGTAAAATTTGTTTCGCTTTTTAAGTGAACAATTGAGGTAGCAGTAGAAAACTTGAAACTTCATTTCAGTTTCCGTTTTTTAATTTAATTCCAGACGAATTGGTGATTCACCGATACCTGGTGCCGGTGCATATGCTGATAATGATGTTGGTGGTGCGGTAAGTACCGGTGATGGTGACATTATGATGAGATTTGTTTCCAGGTGCTTTTTTTCTAATTAACACTCGTCAGTCTAGTTAATAATCACTTTCATTGACTTATTAATTACCTCAAGTATTTTATACGTAATGAGTGTTTAATTATCCAATTTATTAAGAAACATATTGCAGCTTTCAAACAGTTCATTATATCCGTGAGGGTAAAACGCCGGCAAAAGCTGCCGAAATAACAATTCGTGCCATTTCTCTCAAATATCCTAATTTTATGGGCGCAATTGTCGCAGTCAATAAGAAAGGTCAGTTTGGTGCCGCGTGTCACGGCATGGATTCCTTCAGGTTTTGTGTTCAAAACCAAAATTTTGCAAAAGTTAGGGTTTTATCTGTAAGATGCATATAGATGCTAATTAAATTTTTGATTTGTAGTATTATCATTTCCTTTTAGTACGTTTAAACATTTAACATTTGAAAATATTTGTTGGGTTGATATTGTTTAAATCTTTAATTAATCATTGTTATGGGTCCTAATAAAATTGCACTTGTTATTTGCCATTTGTTCAGCAATTTGAAATTGTGCAATTTCTTTACTGATTTTTATGATTCATGATAGAACAAGAGTTGAAATGAGGAGAAGTAATTTAAAAATGAATAGAACACATTTTTTGTTAAAAAAACCGAAACTTTTCAAGAGCTTCTAAAAGCAAAATTTCTAAAAAATTATTTAAAATCCTTTCTCTCATTTTCCTTCTTTTTGCTAAAAAAATTGCGAGGAAAAATTTAAGGATAATATCATAGGTCGACATGAGTGGTCATGATCACGACCTCCAGAAGTTCAGAATAGAAGAATATCTTAGATTTCTCTATATCTTTGGATTTCATATGTTTTTAAAGTTTCCTTTATGAATCCAACATTTTATCCTCATGAGGATTTTCTTTCTATTTTTCAAATAGAATTCAAAAATTTTTATGCTCTCACTTAGTTATGATCAGTAGGTATGAAGGAATTTAAAACCTGTGTCAAGTCAAGATTATCCTTACAGATAACTTTATAGTAACAAACCATGATTTTAATTGTTATTGCCAGTAAATATTGACTGAATTTATAAATAATTTTATTTGCCAAGGCTGAATTATGATTATGGACATTAACTGAATTTATACTGCTAACGTTAATAATGATCATAAATGTTACCAATTTTAAATCTCTATTAAATATATTATTATAGTTGTTGATGACCTTGCAGAATAGCAGCACTTATATAAGAAATCATGATTACGAACTATAAAGAATAATGTCTAATTGATTCAAACCATGCAGCATGCATGTATGTAAATCCTTTGACTTTCACTTTTTTTTTGTTTTTTGATAAAGTTTTTATAGGAGAGCTTAATTAATTTTATTTTGTAATTTTTAATATTTTTCAATCTAAAGATTTTCATGTTGTTAAAGTAATTAGAAAATAATTTTTGGCATTTACATATAGTTGTCTTAATTCTTTTGCATGAAAAAAGAAGGAATGAAAGCATTTTTTTTAAAAAAATGCATTCCTTAGTTTTTCTTTTTTTAAACGTGAAAATAAAATATTTTTAAAAATTTTTACATATTTCATCATATATCGTTATCAAATAAAAATTCACTATTGTCATTATATTTTCAAGACAATTATCGAATAGCACTTCTCGTTTGTTACTTTATTTAATAATTTTTCTTTTTCTTTTTTGTGTATCATCCATGGAGGAAGAATTTTGTTGATGTTGAATTTTTCTAGTCTTTTTTTTTCAGAAAAATAGCAAGAAAATACACGAGTAAGTATTTTGAAATAATAACATACCAATTATTAGCATGTCTTATTTTTTGTTACTGAAGACAAATTTGAAAAATTTTTAAATTAATTGATTATATTTAAGAAAAAATAATTCATATTCAAGTAAAGTTAGACCATCATTTTAACTGCTGAATTATCATTTTAGGTAAACAAAAAAGAGAAAAAATTAGAATGATTGATGTATTTCGTCGTTTATTGCATAAATTAATATTCATTTTAAGTTAAAGCTTATGATTTTGAGCCAAGCGATAAATGAGGAATAAAAATTTAGTCTTATGCCTTTCAATTTAAGCATTTAGTTACGCTTGTTGTTTCTGTATTTTTTTGAGGCATAAGTAGAATATCTTATGCTAACATGTGTTTTTAAAAATGTTCGAAATTTGAGTTGACAGAAATGAAATAGTATATAATGCAACAAAATACAACAAGAATGATGTTCATATATTCGTTGTAGGTGTTTTTCTTCTACGATTTTAAATCGGTATACTGAAACATCCTAGATGAACGGTAGCCACGTAAACGTGATACAATTCAGCGTCTAATTGCACACAGCCGTCAACATTTGTTTGTCGAAATTTTATCTAAAAATCATATTTTCATATTTTCTGATTTCAAATTAATTCTTCATTTCTACTTCCCATTAATTTTAATAAAATTCACAAATTCTAAAAAATTACACTGAATATATCTAAATTAAAGAAATGTAAAAATTTTTTATTGACTTACATTATATAAACGTAAACAAATGCCAGCATATTCCTTCAAAAATGGCAATGACAAACAATACGGTGGTGGATTATGCACTGCAAAGAGAACAAAAAACAATTTTCATTTAACTAAATAAGTTTAACAATGAATTTCAAGTTTTTTAGATTTCAACTATTAAAAATAAAATTTATGCATATCTTAGCATTATTCTCATTTATTTACACATGTATTTAAAATACAAGAATGCATATCGTGGATAATATCTTCTTTTGAAAAATAAATAAAAATTTTCTTTTCTCATTTTTTGAATTATGAAAAAAAAAAGTAAAAAGGATAAAAACTAACATGAAATTTCTCTCGAAATATAAACATAACCATTTATAGAAAATGATAAGCGGATACCAATATCTTCTGCTATGTACGTAATATTTACACACGCTGCAAATTTTTAGTTTAATTTTAAATTCCCATATCACTGCAATATTTCCAATATACTACATTGCAATATATATGCAAATTGTATTGCATTGCAGTGTATTAGATTATAATATAATGTCAAATAAGTATATGACATTATGTTGTATTGCAATATAATGTAAGGAAGTATACGGTACTATAGCAAACTATAATATGTCACAGTATCCTGTCAGTGGGTGGAAATATACTGTAACAATATGATATAGTACGATGTCAACAATTATCAGTATATCATGTATGACACAATAATACAATATAACTACATTGTTTAATATTGTAGTGTGGTGTATTGCAGTATAAAATCATAAGCGGAAGTGTATGGTAGTAACATCACAATATCTGTAGATATTGGCATATTGTACTGAATTATAGAAACTATATTACAGTATGATGTTAACAGTGTAAATGCTGCATAGTGTGTAATAGTATAATGCTATGGTAAGTATGGTACTGAATACGGTATAAATATTGCGATATTAGTGAAAGAATATATAATATTTTAGTGAAGTGGTATTTTATTATTTGACTCATTATTGTTTAAAAAATAATTGAATTTGATAAACTGTTCCGTCCTAATCCGCTTATTATACTACACGATCTGCAACGCGAAATATGAAGAAAATATTAATGATTGAAAGTTGTAGCAAGTCAAAATATTTCAAACAAATTTCTTTTATAATTTTGATTAACAGAATATCATTGTACAAAATTTTCAAAATTCGAATTAGATTCGTAGTTTTGCAAAACTACAACTTTGTATTTCTTTCACAAAAAAGGAAATTCCTTTGTGATATTTATAGAAAGCAAAAAAAAATGAATTTGTTCTCATTTGAATTTAAATTATACCAACAACAGAACAAACATATTTCATTTTATCTTATATGGTAATAAACGAAAGGACCGTACATGTCTAATGCATAAATGACAGCTTTTTAAATTGAAAGCAATCGTACACATTGGAATGAAATGAACAAGATTGAAATCACAAATGCTATTATTGCTATTTTTATCAAAAACGAAAAAATAAAAAAAAAAAGGAAAAAACATTTGAAAAAAAAGGTATCAATTGAAAATTTATTTCAAAGAATTACTCAAAAATTAAATAGACTGGAAAAATTTAAGTTCCATAATTTCCATATTCACATTCTTTTTTCATCCTTCTTAAATGTTTCACATTTTTTCTTCTAAATTCTTATCGTTATCGCTGTTATATCCTAATTCACCGAATATTTTATTTTTATTATAGAATATTACCATTTTTTGGCTATAATTAATCCAAATGGAATTAAAAAAAAATGAAATTTTCTTGACCGAAGGGAATGATTTGCTAATTAAACACTTACCAAAATCATTAAGACCAATTTTAACGATGTTTAAAGTCATACAGCATGCACAATTCTTTCGAACGCATTCACAATTTGTTGAGTTTATTGTGTCATTGTCGATGTGATTTGTCAACAAACCTGCAAACTGCTCTTTCTCCTTAATTTATGCATAAAAAAGGAAACTCTTTAAAATAACCTTAAATGTTTAAATAATTTTTATATTTCAAATTCATGCTAAGATCACTTTTTATTTTTCAAAAATTTCAAAATTTTTTTTTTTTGTAAGATCACATATTATTATATACAGTATGTGATTGGGATACGAATTCAATTCATTCTTCAATTACATCATTCTTTCATTTCTCACATTTAATTTCTCACCGTGATTAGTTTCCATTTCTTTGGTAACATGTATATGAAGCCGATAGTTTTCCGTTATCATTTCCAACTTTTTTTTCATACCATTTTCAATTATCATCGTTACATCCATAACAATATAGTCTAAAATGGATCGGTAAACGTGAATTCTAATAATATAAAATAGGTTACAAATGAAAAAATGAATTCAAAAAATACAACTAATTTCATAAATTAAAAAAATCAAAACTATCATATACGTTATCACGTACATTATTATTCTTATTGCTATCACTTCCATTATCATTTTACTCTTATCGATGCATTATAATATTATGCGAAAATTATTCGATTTTTTTACAATTTGTTAATATTTAACACTTTTACTTGTACTGCGCTAACATCCTATTTTGTTGATTTTTATACTATTTTACACTATATTTATACAATTATTTGTATTTTGCACACTCAGGTAATCAGTTATTCTCAATTTGCAAAAATGAATGATTTAACCTTGCATTCCAGTGGGTAAATCGAAAAATCGTAATCCTATATAAACTTTGCCATTATGTGATTTCATCGCTTTTGTTAGTCTTATCACTGTGGAATCGCTATAACGATTATGATTGTGCCTTAATAATCCACCATCCTGCATCATTATACTCTAAAATACTGCTAACAATTATCATAATTTATCCTGATAATGCATGTCATTATATCCATTTATAATATTCACAATATACCAATAGATGATACTCTTCATATAATTCATAATATTTATAATCTATTAAATTTTCAATATCTTCAAACTATCACTTGTGGTTTTTGCTTATCTACACTGGAACTTATCATTATCTCTATCACCCCTTAAAATCACTATAATGTTACTAACAAGTAATAAACGGTTAAACAACGAAAGCTATCAGTACTATGAAAAGAGATTAATATTAGTAAAGATTTATTCTTTTAAAATAAATGGGAAAATTTTGGATACAAACAATAGTATTGAAAAGAGAAGGCATTTTTTCGGCGATACAAATTAAAAATTATTATCAAAACTTATCAAAGCTCGCTTTTAATCAATTTGAGCTAAAACTCCTTACTCATAAAAATTTAACATCACTATTTATGTCAAAATAATAATTAATGAATTTTGGAAATTTCAGTTGCAATTTTCGAAATCATTACAAGCTTCGAGCAATAATCTTATGTTAATTTTACGTTTTACTGTAATTAATAAAATTTCGAAGTAAAAGAAATCCAGAAGTAGCAACTGTTTTATTTTTTTACCTGATGTCGGGCCTTTTTTCATACTATCAAGAAATGCTTTTATATTCATTTCTCTAAAAATTCATTTATTAAGTTTGTTTTAAATTTGGATATTCAATTGTTTGATATAAATCAAAAGTTGGCATTAATTTTAAGCGAAAGATTTCATTTTTTCTTAAAAATTTTTCCTTTCTTTTTTTTCCATGATTTTATAATACTATCTGAAATTGAAGGTAAATGGTGAATAATTTCTACACTCCTTTACAACTGGTTATATTTCAAAATTTTAATCAATTAATTTAATTATGTTGAAAGGAAGAAAAGATGAAACAAAATTTGAGGTGAAAAACAAATAGTCATTCAGTATTTAAGTTCTGAAGTAATTTAAAATGCCTTTTAAAATTTTATCGTATTAAATTTTACATATATCTTTCACACATCATTTTCATATCCGTTATACATCCATTTTCTTACCTATTTCTTTACCATTTTTATTCATTTATGTGTTTTTAAAATTACTTAATGTAAAAGTAATTTATTTACTGTTTCCTGCATGACTGTTTAAATAATGTTTATATGTTTGTTTCGTTTGAATAAATCAAAATAATGTGAAAAAAATAAAAATTAAGAAAAAAAAATGAACAAATGAACAAATAAGATAAACTTACCTGTAAATCGAAATGATTGGGTGAATGTAATACGGAAATAGCGTATGGTATCGAACAAGGTGAATCGTTTTCGCAAATTTTTGTATCATCGAGTGGAGAAAGTTTAATATGGAGGTCCAAATATGAATGCGCCTAAATTATATGAATTAATCAATTCATCAAATTTGCAGAAGTTGATGTATATAAATGAGGAAAATCATAAAACTTTGAATTTTAATCAAGGTAGAAATATTTACAAAAAAAAGTTAAGTATTACATTTTGATTTGTGTGAAATCTTTCTTTCTTTTTTTGTTTCGTTATTTTACAAATAAATTTGTAAAGAGTTCTAAGCGAATCATTGCATATGATTTAGATAACGAATACAACTAGAAAAAGATTCTCGACAAATTTAAAACAGAAAACAGGCAATATGTAAACAGGGTAAACCTGTTTTGCATATCATCTGTTTACATATTGTCTTTAAAAAAGTTCGCAGTTCATATCTTTTCTTTCTTTTTTGAATTTTTTTTTTTTGTTTGATCATTTTGATGAAATAATTTATTAATATCTAAACTTGTTTACGTGTTATTTCAACAGAATTCATGGCAACTCATTTTTTTTCGTAAATTTATCATTTTATGAGTTATATCATTCAAATGAAACATTTTTCTTTTGTTTTTATTTAAATTAAAAATTCTGAATAACACATATTTACAGTGTATAATAAAATAACGTTGAATTTATTTGTATGAGTTATTTACATATATGACGTGGAATATTTAACAACTGATTAAATGCATTATAAATGTTAATATTTAGAGAGACAAATATTCATCGGAATTCAACGAAATTTAAATAATTCCATTGCCTGAACTTAATAAAATTTACATTTGGTGTTCATATATATTCTATAACGATAACAAAGAAAGGTTATGTAAGATTAATTCT